TTTCTTTGTTGTCTCTGAACCTCACAAAACCAAGGGGCTTTGTGCATGTTATTCTTTCTGCCTGGCTGATTCTCCACCTCTCTTTTGACTGATCAGTTCCTCAGATCTCTGTTTAAGGGTCACCTCCCCCCCAAAAAAAAGCCTTCCTCAGACCCTGCTCCTCACATCCCCACCTGCTGAGCCTGACCAGGTTCTCTCCTATTCTGCTTTCAGAGAACACGTTCTTTTCTCTCTGGTGCCCAGCCTAGAAAGTGACAACATTCTCCTCTTTGCGATCATTCACCTCTGTTCCCTCTCGTGCAGTTCAAGTTCAAAGAGAGCTGGTTAGTGACCTTCCCATCACTATGATCTAAAAAACAGCCTGGTACTTAGAAGTGGATCAAGGAATATTTGCTGACTCAATACTGGTTTATCATAAACTTTTATTTGTTCCTTGTATGTTTCAAACTACTTTTGTGTGGTAGTATTATAATGAAAAAGGATTGTAAAATGTTTTTCCTTTCTGTTGAGGCTGCAGCTGTCCTCTGCAGAGCTTGCTAGTCTGGGTTCTGACTCCTCTGCCTATGACAACTCTCGGCTCATTTACACCATGGAGCATGGTTAGGCTGTATTGTCTGTGACACTACCGCAGTCTCTGTGGGAGGTGTCTTCCCCTTCCCATCATCTTTGAGTTGTTTACCCCAAAGCAGGTGCTTTGGAGGCCTGCTGCTTTCTCTCTCCTGCTCTCAGGGATGCAGCCTTGTAGATTTTGTGACTAATAAATGACTCTTTGACAAAGCAACCTGCCAGGCCACCCTTGCCAGCTAATGTCAAGCTGGTATACTGAACAGAAATCCTGCTGTCATTGCTTAGTATATGTCTCTTGGCATGGCTCCCTCACAATTCTGTCTGTTCTTCTCACCCATAGTCAAGAGAGCTATAATCACTATGATGTGTTCTGTGAAATCAAAGTTAAGTTCTTTCAGGGAATTAGTGGGTGACTTCCTGTTTTCAGCTTAAGGTGTAGGTTTTTGTTCCTTTGAACAAATGATAACATAAATACAGTAGCTTTGGAGCTTCATGAGAGTAATTTCTCCATATGGTGCCTCTGGTAGCACCAAAGATTTTTTTTTTTAAAGATTTCTGTGGACTAGTTTAAAAAAAGAATCTTGTCAGCCTGCAAACATTTTACTGGCCTCCACAATAATTCACCTACACATCACAATGTTACAAGGGTAATTTGTCACTTAAATCCTCTTCTGAATGTGTGGAGAATAAACAAACCTGGCAGACACATCAGAAGAGAAGGAGCCCGCAAGCTTCACAGCCCAGTGTACCTTGGCACCACTACGGACCCACATGAAGCAACAGTGTAGTAGCACAATGTCTTGTTTCCGTGTCTAGAATCTCTAGACACATTGGCAAGGTTGTCATTTTGATTCATGTCCAGGGAATTAGGAGATGATGGGAGATATTGGCCTACAAGACAGTATCTATACTATGGTGGATCCACAGCAAGTGAGTTGATTTTATCTGGTGTGGAGACGAAAAGCCGATTGGCCAGTTGAGGGCAAATGAGGGGAAAGCTTCATGGAGATTGGCTCTTCTATCAGTGTCTTATGTTTCAGAGGGATATAATCATTTGGTTTCATGATTAATAATCCTCATGGATGGCCTTTCTCTCCCATCCATAGTTTATCTGGAGATTGAAATAAATGCAAAATCAATCTGGCAGAATGTTGCATTTCTTGTTTCTTGTTCCTGGTCAGTGATAGATACAGAATCAGGTTAAGATTGGCTGAGCAATTTGAGCTGGACCATATTGCTAGTTGGAGGGATAAACTGTTGAGCTCTTTCTAGAATGATCTACTGTGGTGTCATCCCCGACAAAGGAAATGAACAAATCTATATTTTTTCTAGAAGAGCCATTTGGCGCCATTCCTATTTCTCTTCATACCCCTTAGTAATCTCTGACAGTACTTCATCACCCCTGCTGGTCCCTTGTATCCAGACACCAATTCTACGGAGTCATTTTCTGACAATCCTTGTTCCTGATTGGTCACAACTGCCAAGGTGGGACCTGGCAATCACAGAGCATGTTCCCAGGTATTTCCCATCTCTGTGCTTCCCTGCTGGGTTTAGAGTCCTTTGGGATAATTTCACCAATGTACCTGTTCTTCTCTATGCATCTTATTTCTGTGCTTCTTTCATTAGTCAGTCCTTCTAAGTCACACCTTGAAGTCACCCACCCACCTCAGGGAAAGAGCAATTCAACTGTGCAATGTAAGTCCTCACAAGGACTTGTGAGGGATACGATGACAAACTGTAGACAGTGAATTCCTGAGGAAGAAATGGTTTGCTTCACTCAAAGTACTTAACGCAGTGTGGCCTGTGGGGCGGGTACTATGCTGGTGGACATAATAAAAGGGCATATGCGGAGGAAACAAATAGATTGGCAGCCCTTAGTGAGGATGGTGGGGTAAGTACAAGCAATATGATAGGGAACTGGAAATTTATGGGGGAAGGCTTCACAGAGAAAACGGCATTTGAGTGACCTGGCCTGCTTACCTTATTCTTAAAAAGAGAACTCTTAGTTACTTAGCCAAATAACTAGATCCTTGAGTTTCGTTTACTATAGAGGGAATGGAGACCGAGCTCAGCAGTTAAGAATATTTGTTGCTCTTCAAGAGGACCTTAGTTCCAATCTCAGTACTAATGTCAGGTGGTTTCCAACTACTCCTAACTCCAGGTCCCAGGGATCCAATGACCTCTTTGGTCATTAAAATTAATCTTTAAAATGCTATTTAAAAAGCATACTAGGGCAGAGAAATTTGTGTGCTATGAATACATCTGGGTATACATCTGGCTTAAGCTTCTCCTTCTCTCTCTCCTATAGGAAATTAAACCATTGTGATTTGTGGACAGTAGTTTTGCTTGCTATTGCTGATAATAAAAGGATCACAACGGTATTTGTGCATTGCAGACTTTCCCGTTTGCTCTGATATATATAAGTAACTAAGAACTTAGTTTGCTCTGATATATATATATATATATATATACACACATATATAATGTGTAAGAGCATTTTGCCTGCATCTATGTATGTGTACCATGTGCTGGAACCCCAGGAATTGGAGTGGATGTGCATGACTGTGCTGGGAACTGAACCCTGGTCCTCTGCAAGAGCACTGAGTGCTCCTAAGTTCTGAGTCATCTCTCTAGCCTTATCTCCTCTGAGATTTTTATCTCTGATATTTTGTCTCAGTAACATACATGTATTAAACCATCTCCTCCCTCATTCTGCCTTCCTCGGGTAAGAACAACATTTGTGGGTTGATTAAAGGTCAGATTAAGGTTTATTTCTTTAGAAATTTGTTGAAACCATACTGGGTGAAGACTTTTGGTTATTAGATTCCTTTTTATTTCTTTACTAGGACTAAATTCTCGTAACCAAATAATTATTTTGTTAGAATACTTTAAAGATTTTTTTCCCTACATCAATTAGCAACTAACTGGGGTCAAGCCCTAGAAAAATGTACTTCCTTCCCATTTATATTAAATCACAGCCTCTCCCATGAGCAAAGCTGGCTTGCAAATGCTCCTAACACATTCTGAGGTGATGCTTGGACTTTAGAAGTGTTTTGAAGATTGCAGTTTGAAGGAGTTGGTCATAGAGAAACTAAGTTCCTGTAGGATATTTTTCAGGGAAAAAGAAAGTATTTCCAAGGAAATCAGAAGAGTTAATGCATTTTATTCTTCTACCTGGTAATAATTACTGAGAAGTATTGATTTAATATGAACTCTAGCTAGACAATTACTTAACCCCTATAAGCCTAAATTTCCATATCTGTCTGTGGAATTCACTTTGGAGAGATGTGAGGACTAAAGAGGAATATTAATATCTCTATCTATCTGACACCTATTGGCATTTAGCTAATATTTTAAGAATATATCAGAGTTCTCACAAATTATTTATAGAAAAATGTTCGAAGGAAAAATCACTTTATACCTTCTCAAATATTTTCGTACTTTTCATTTTATACTATTCAGGATAGAGCTCTATTTTTAAATAGCAGATGGTGGGCTTTGTACTTATGTGGGAGCGGATTAAAGGCTGCCCTTTCCTGCCTACCTACTTGGAAAAGATCCCCAAATCACATCCCACATCTCAATGTCATTAAGACCTCTAATCCTCTTACGAAAGCTTTCCTGGTTTGAGCTGTAATCATCAGTGGTTAGATCTTTATTTGGAACAAAACAGCGTCTCTGAGTATCAAGGTCTGAACTGAGTTACCAGCACTGCATTATTACTGCAAAGAGCTTCAGCTATGCAAGTCACACAAGCAGGCTCGCAGCCTTGCAAGACCCAGGCTCCTTGACACCCCAACCCAGTCCCCCTTCTGTTCATCACCAAAGTCGGAATATTTTTCTGTTTAAACCCACTTAGCTTTTGGGTCGTTTACAGGAAGAGCAGTTTGGAGGGGCTGGAAGGTTGGGCAGAGACCAGCTAGAGAAGTAACATAAAGGTTTGGTTTATTGACTTTTTCATATTATTTTTTTTTGGCCAGTTTTAGATTATAACAGAGAATGAAATAAGAGGCGCTGGCACCAGACCTGGCCATGTCTCCAAAGCTAGGGAAGCTTGGCAAAACTGAGGTCAGCAGCTCCCCTCCCCCATCACTTGCAGCCAGCCAGTCCAGAACACGCACCCTGGAATGGTAGCAAACAAGGGGGCTGGTCCCCAGAAACAGGTTGTCACCTTTGCCGTTCACTTAGGCCTAGCCTAAAAACCACCACGTCCGACCCAGCAGGCAGGTCCTAGGCCGGGCAGTGAGGGTTCAGCAAGGTCAGTTAACTTGGCGCTGCGGCTTTCTGCCCGCCTTCCCATCCTTAGCACAGCAGCCGCTAGACATTTCTATTGGTCAGCATGGCTGTCTATCAGTCCATTGCGCACCTCCCCCAAACAGCCTGTCAGGTAGGCGCGTGCTGGCGAGGCGGAGCTTGCGCCTAAGGGGCGGGGCCTCGGCGGTGGAAGGCGCCGCGGCCGCTTCACCGCTCTGACTCTGGACTGGAGCGCGGAGGCATCCTCGCAGCCGCTGCTTCTCCTGCTGTAGCTAGTCAGGTAAAAGAGTCTTCTTCCTGGCCGTCTGCCCCACGTCTTCTTCCCAGCCAGAGACTGCCCGCTCGGTGTCCCCGGCTTTAGGGTTCTGGTCAGCGCTGATAAGCTCCTACCTTAGCGTCCTCTCTGTCGAGTTGGTTCCTTCAGCTCTGCAGCCCGGCTGCTGGGTGCTGGGAAGTGCGTTGGTGGCCCCTAGAATCACCCCAACATCCCTCTCTACAGAACTCACATCGTTAACTCTCAGGCCCTAACCTTCTTGACCTGTCAGTGCAGTCTCATTCCAGCTTGGCTCAGGAAAGCTGGGAGGGTTGGAGGGCCAAAGAGGGGAAGAAGGCTCCCCCCCGCCCCCCGTAACGATGCAATTATACTGCAATGAAGTTGGATTGAGAATAGAAGCTGCTTCCTGTTTGTCTTGGCAATAATGAGGGTATCTGTTTCTGCACTGTGCTTGTATTTATAGGTGGCATTCAGCATCACCGTTTTCTTCAGGCATCATGTCATCATCACAACCATCACAAACAACATCATCTTCTCCTCCATTCAGAACTCTAGCTCCCTGAAGGCCGTCTCTGTTCCTTTGTGTAAGTGTCGGACACTCCTCTTTCCAAGAGTGGGCAATGTCCTTGTCTCCAGAAGCCACAACCAAACCTTGTTTTAACTCAAGGACAACTAGCTGGGAACAGTGTGTGTGTGTGTGTGTGTGTGTGTGTGTGTGTGTGTGTGTGCATGCGTGTGTGTTGGGTGCTAGGGCAATATTCCCACTTGCAACTGAGGTTTCCAAATGAATCTTTCTGTTTTAATCCTCAACATTTCTGCTTACTAACTCCTAGAGAGTTTGATGTTGGCACTGACACAGTCATGGTGGGCTGAATACAGGGTCTGAGTACAGAGCTGTGTAAGGCAAGTTATACCCATAACGAGTTAAGCCTTTGAGCAGACCAGGTCAAGCAGCAAAGCATCTGACTTTCTCCCACAGTGACTCCAGTTGTACCAAAGCTTGCTTTGTATTCATGCTTGCAGACAGGGTATGTGTCACTGTGGTGTTTCACCATAGGGGGAATCTGACAGAGAGAGAAAGAGAGAGAGAGAGAGAGAGAGAGAGAGAGAGAGAGAGAGAGAGAGAAATAAATTCTATTGTTTACATCAGAAGGCATTTTCTAGATATACCTCTGAGACTCGACAACCATTGCTTAGCTCTTTCCAGGGCTTGCTGTAAGGTCTATTAGATCTCTGATTTATTAGCCCTCTCTTAGGAGGAAAGTATTAAAGCTGGGAATCGAAGATCAGATTACCCCCTCATCGTGGAATCATTGCTTTAGAGTGTTTCAAATCTCTCGATTCTCCTCAGCCAGAGACACCTAAACAATCATCTTCCTTTCTCTCAGGGGTATGCAATCTAGTGCAGCATCAACAAGTAACAGGTTTCTAGGCACACTGCAGGAATTAGGGCATAGTAGCCTCGTTGGAGGGAAGCTATGGTGAAAACCTGACAGTGGGTTATACTGGCTAAACTCACAAACCCAGTAGGTGTAGTTTCAAGTCCTGGGCCAACCTTAGTTGAATGATTTTTGTAAGTCAACTTCTTGAACTTGACTTCTCATCTGAGAAATACAGATAATCTCTCTCTCTCTCTCTCTCTCTCTCTCTCTCTCTCTCTTCATGTAGGGAAGTTGTAGATGGAAATAAAATAATGTAAGTAAGATGCTTAGTAATTTCCTGGCACATGGGAATGGTGGAATTAGTGATCATTGCTTTTAGTAATACTAGCCAACAAGAATAACAAAGGCCCCAAAATGTGTGTCTTCTCTCTTTCTCTGTTTGTTTTAGATCTCAGTACATATGCCAACAGGGAATGGTCACCTTCAGGTTCCCGATGGGATTGTCTCTTAAGGGTCCTAACAATTGAAGCTATCTGTGTTTAAGCAGCCTTGTCGTAGGAACTCCAGCCTGTGCAAATGCTTAGCAAGCTTTTGGTTAGGATACATTAAAGCTGATGAAGCCTTTGGGGAAACTTCTCTCTGGTCTTTGGGGGGACTTCTCTCTGGTCTTCGGGCCTGTCCTAGGCTGTGCTTTTCTTACTGGCTCTTCACCACACTGTCTTGATAGGTTGTGCCTTCTGCAGACTCATTAGTGACTGTATTGGCTTCTACCCAGGGGAAGTCAAATAGCTTTGCTTCAAATGTCTGTGGGAACTGAAGCCTCTCTAAATCACGGCCCTGAAATAACTTATTGTGTGGCAGCATGATTCTCTTCTAAGACTACATACTAGACAGAACCACTGAATAACTATGTAGTTCGTATCTCTTATCCCAAGAAGTTCACATCATTCCATCTGCTTTGCGGAGGGGAGTACTTGGATATCTGGAGTTTGTTGTCCTTTATATTAGTAGGATGGTTTTTATTGTGTGGGATAGAAGTCCAACAGAAAGTATCCTAAACAAAAGGATGAGCATTTGGGTCTCACATGACTGAGCCAACTGGTACCTAATATCCTGGTGCGGAAGCTGTTCTACTCCAGATGGCTCCCAAGTTTTAGGGGGTCCTGCAGTTGCCATCCTGCTCTCTAGCTCTTTGTCTTTGGGTATTTCTACCAGGTCTCTTTTAGCTCTGCTTCTCCCTCCCCTGTTGATCTCACTCTGTTCCATTCCCAACCCTGCCCTCCCAGCGCCTTCATAAACTCTAGATTCACATCCTTCTAGTTCCAGAACCCAAGTCCTAAGCAAAAAGTCCCAGGGAAGAATTGCTCTTGATAAGTCCTTTATGCACAGGTATGGCTTGCCTAGATGAAAATGCTTTGGTCAAGAGGGTGGGGTGCTATAGACCTTCTGATAACTGATGGTTGAGTTTCATATCCTAATCTTCTGCCATATCCAGATAAAAATCGGTGGGGCAAAGGAAGAGAAGTAGAAACTGGGGGCACTTTGGGACTTGGTATGATGGTGGTCAACATGGTTGATGGAGAACTGAGGAATATCTTTCTCTGACCTGGCAAAAGTGCTCCACGGTCGTTATGTTGAAGCTCTGGGTTCATGCATATCATTGCAGACTGGACTGGGTTCCAGGTGACCTTGCTTTTGATATTTTAAATTGAAACTTTATTTGTGTAAGCGAGAAACGTCGTCAGGGATGTCGAAGAACTTGCAGTGATTCCACTGTTGGCGGTTTGATCATGTTTGGAGTTGTCCGTAATCTCTTCTGGGCCACATTTGTTTAACACCTGCTATGTTTTTTTGGATGTACATAGTATTTGGTTTAAAATCAGCTTAATTCTTAGCGGGTCTCAGCCTGTGTGTTGGCATTCATCCAACGTGCTTGATCATCGCAGAGATGCTAAACCGCGAGAAGCGAATGTGAGCCTGCACCAACAGGCTGGCCTCTGGAAGGAAATGAAACATCCTCGTGTTTAGGGTCTGAACTGCAGACAAAGCAGTGATCCGTGTGCCCGGTAAAACAATAATTACTGTAGTTGGAGGAGGTAGAGTGAGTACGACCTGCTGAACTCAGCAGCATAAAAGGCTGAAAACTCAGGAATGGGCTGTCTTCCTTGCAGTTTCTGGGTCTTTTGGTGAAGAGTAAAAGCAATCTCAAGACAGTGGAGTAATCAGTGGTTTTCTGTACTCACCCAGTCCTCGAACATATCCTACCCTAGTGCCTCTGTGGTTATGGGAAGAATTGTTCCTTCATTGGGCCTCCCTACTGAAACTGAACAAATCTCTGAAATTTTCTGCAAGAAATAAGCGTCTAGCCAAGTCCTTTTTATTTTCCCTTCTCCAAACCAGCACATCTCTTGTTTCCCTGCCTTAATCAAAACTGACTCTTTTGTTTTCTATTTTATTACTATTCATCCCTGTACTCCTATCCAAAGTGTCACAGATCATTGTTAAATACCGATATACTTCGAATTGAACACATTTTTCTTTGGTCTTCCAAGTGACAAGCTGTTGAGGGTAGAATGTTGAGGTTGGCAGGACGTTTTAGCATTTATGTTATCCACCAGGGTTGAGACATTAATTGAGAAGCAGCAGACTGGAGAGGATAGATAAAGAGCAGCCCAGGAAATAGCATTATGTCGCAGCTGACAGGTCCAATTCTCACATCCCTGCCCTGAGCTTTCCCTTCTCAATGAGAGGGCTCTAGGGCATGTTCTGGGGGAAAGAAGTACAGTGGACATAAATGATCCCAACATTGATACATTAAAAAAAACCATCAAATAGAGCAGTGCTATTAAACAAGCCTTCAGCCACAGCTGTTCTCCTCTGAGCCCATGTGGACAGCTACTCACGCTCATCCAGCTGTTCTGCTCTAAGTCCACATGGACATCTGTTCACACTCATCCAGCTGTTCTGCTCTGAGCCCACGTG